GGATTGACACAGTGGCTGTAACAGTGGGCTCGAGCATCTCAGAAACGGTGAGGATGGCGCAGGGTAGGGCAAAGTTCCCATATGTGTTCATAGGGTTGCTAGGACTTGTCTACTGGGCAGCCCCTAGCAAAACAAGCCTGTGGGTTTGTCAAAGACAGTCGGAACTTCACATGCCTATGCCATGCAGTGGTGGCTCGGTGGTGTTCATTCTCACCCTCCATGGGGGAGATGCGTGGTCCCTGACTCCCATGCACAGCCAGTCACTCAGCAGAGAGGCCTGCACGTTGCTGTGGTGCTGAAAAGATTAAGCAGCACGCCCGGAGCAAGATGGGCTAGGAAGAAGGCCTGGTGATCTACTTCCCCAAGTCAGCCCTTGAAAATCCCAGTCTTTGGGATTGCAGTACAGCTTCTTACCACTAGGCCACCAGAGCTCCGAATATATATAGGTTTCATAGTTCATCTATTTGTCTTTCAGTAGGAAATAAGCCATTTATGCATTGGTAGGTAGAGGTACAGACTTCAGAGACAATGTGTAAGTGCTTTTGTGGTTCGATAAACTACTACTCAAAAGTGCTGGACCCACTTTCTCCTGGTAGCAACATTAATAATGTGCACACATAGGGAGCTCTGGTGACCTAGTGACAAGAAGCTGCACTGCAATCCCAGAGATACGTGGTTCGAATCTACCAGATGCTCTGTTGGAGAACGAGGGGCAATCTTTTCCTGTACCAGTCAGATCTGATTTGACGGCACACACACAAAAAATAATAAAATAAAGAATGTGCACACAATACGAACAATATAATCAATTTCATCGATCTGTATATATATAAATTTCTAGTTAAAAAGGAAATTCCATTCGTTGACATCTTTCATTTTTCACATCTTGGAGCTACTAAATAGCTCTTCCCCACCATGCCCCTTGTTGTGTACTGTCGAGTCAGATCCGACTGGCATAGAAAAGATTGCTCCCCTTTCTCCAGTAGGGCATCTGGTGGATTCGAGCTGCATGGCTTTGCGAGTGCAGCACAACTTCTTGCCACTAGGCTGCCAGAGGTCCCTTGTCTAAATAGCTCTTGAATGTGCTTCTCCATTTCCATTGCCACAGTCACTCTGGTTTTCCTGCTGTCCCTCTAATCCAGCCTCCACCCTGCAGAGTGCTGACTGGAAAATACTCCTCTAACTGTGTCCATCCCTTGCCCAACATCCTTCAGCGAGCCCTGGCCACCACTCTTTCACCTAGTGTACACCCTCACAGTCTGGTCCTCACCTCACCCTATGATTCACACACACACACCTCATGGGACTGGGAACTCCCCAAGAGCTGAGACAGGTTAAACAAGCATGGGTCATTCATGTCAAGTGCTGAGGCACAAGGTGACGCAAACCATGTGATGACCTGTGATGAGCCCAAGGAGGGAGAGCACTGGCCCATCAGGGCTGACTTCGGCCAGTAATGGCCGGATGCTGAGAGCTGGGGCTGGATGGCACTTCATTCATTGGTATGCCCAGCATCTAAACAGGCCAGGAGCTAACCAAATGCCCACTGCCATTGGGTAGATCCCAACTCATGAAGGAAATCGCTCCAGTGGCTTTCTTCTTTTTGGTGGCCACGGTCTTTACAGAAGCAACTCACCAAGGTGTTCTTTGGTGAGGCTCAATGGGTTCAAACAGACCACCTTTTGGTTAGCTAAGCACAAAACGTTTGTGCCATGTCAGGTTAAAAGGAGGAAACTGTCTCTAATTGCCTCTGATAATAGACACCTGCTTGCAGAAGCACTTCCCCTTCTAGTCTTTCACTTCTCTGTGTGGTTCCCTCCTCCATTTGCCAAAGTAACCTGTTGCTGTTGATTACTACTCATTGCAACCCTACTGGGCGAAGCAGGGTTTCCGAGGCTGGAAATCTTCTGGGAAGCAGACTGTGATGTAGCCAGGGGAATCTGAATTGCCAGCCTTCTGGTAAGCAGTGGAGCACTTTAACTACTGCATCACCAGGGCTGCTTTCCCTTAAAGGAGATTGCAGGTCAGATGTCTTTGACATTCCAATTCCCTGCCATCCTCTGTGCTCAGCTTTGAAGCTGCGGTCAGCTCGTCTCTTCTGTTCATGGTAACCACTCAAAACAAAACACCACCTCACACTCATTTCATTGCTCTGAGACAGAACCAACTCCTAGCAGACCCTCCAGGAGGCTTTTGGAGGTTGTAAATAGCAGTGAAGAAAAGTGCTGGGTTTTTCTTTCACAGAGGTGCTGGTGGATTTGAACGGCCAGAGAGGGAGGCACCTTTGGGTTAGCAGCACAGATCCCAATGAAATACTGGTGGCTTAGTGGTAAGGATTTGGGCTGCCAGCCCCAAGGCATGTGGTTTGAATCCACCAGCTGATCCACAGGAGAAAGAGGGCAGTCCCCTCCTGTGTGACTAACTGCCTCTGAAAACCTGCTGGAGGCTCAGCTAGGAGTTGGTATCTCAATGGACTGTGCCATTACCCTAGATTATTCGAAACACCTTCTCAACTTTCCCCACCTTGCCCCATTGCTGGGCTTGTGTGGTCAAGTCCTACTCATGGTGACCCTGTGTGAGAGTAGAACGGGTTTTCTCCTTGGAGAATATGATGCTGGAAGGGTGGAGAGTTGGCCAAGAAGCCCCTTGACCAGGAGGACTGACATGGTGCTGCTACAATGGTCTGAGGATGTGAGGATGCTACAATTGTGTGAGGATGGCACAGGATAGGACAGTGTTTAGATCTTTTGTTCATAGGGTCGCTATGAGTCGTACTCAATAACACCCAACAACAATCTTTATAGGAGAATGCCAGGTCCTCCTCCTGTAGAGTAGCTGGCTGGGTTCAAACCACTAACCTTTTGATTAGCGCCCAAGCTCTGCACTACTAGGGCTCCCCACGCCCTCAAAATGAATTTCTTAATATGTAATTATGTGCTATTGAGTTGCCTGAGACAACAGCCCTAAACCCTGCTCTATCATGTGCCAACCTTATTATCTCTGACAAATCTACCCCCACCACCCTGGTGACTGAAATCAATCCATCTGAGGGTCTTCCTCTCTTGCGCTGTCCCTCCACCCTCCCAAGCATGATATCCCTCTCCAAAGACTGGTCCCTTCTTGCTACATGTCCAAAGTATGTCAGCCTGGTTTCACCCTCTCTAAGACAAACCTGTTTGTTCTCCTAGAAGCACATGGTATATTCAATAATCTTCTCCTCCAGCCCCACAGCTCCAATGTAGCATTTTATTAGTCTCCCATGCCTTTGTGCTCTTGACTAAATCCAATTAGATCTAGGCTCGCACCAGCCTGGACCCAGCCAACCTGCCAGCTTCCAGACTTCTGCAACACATCAAAAGCCTTGTCCAGGAGGCCTCATGCTTTCCTGACTCGGGCTTCATGAACCATCTTCTCTGCTCCCCTCTACCTACTGGGATTCTCATTTAGATAGCCAGGCTCAGTAATACTAAGGACAGAATAGTTCTTATCAGTAAGTCACGGCACAAAGCAAATAAATAACCTTTGCTGGATTCTTGGCAGTCATCTCCCCCCTCTACATCAAATATTGGCAACAAACTTGCCGGTGTATCTCATACCTCACACATTAAAAAACTGACACAAGCTGTCATTTATGTAAAAATTTATTTGACCAAAATGTAGAAAAAGAGATACTATCACATATGATACAGTTGCAAGAGTCTAAAGGAAAAGTGTGGGTTTTAATCAATTGCACGATTTGCTAGTGTGTCTCCTGGGTAGTGTGATGCTTAATAAATAGGAGTGAGGGGCAGGGGATGTGGAGAAGCTAGAAGCAGGGTGATTCTGGCCAGAATTGTAAACTCGGAGTTGGCCCCCATGCGGCTGGGGAATGTGGAATGTTTGAGCTCTGAGATGTTAACTGAGAAAGCAGAAATATAACAAAGCCAGCACGTGCAGCTGTCTACAGAACACTCCGTATCCAGTTCAGTCAGGAGTTTTGTCTTTTATCAACTTGGTCCCGAAGAAGGAACTGAATGAGTAACTCTTCAGCTACATACATTCCCTGAAGCATGGAGGAGGTGAAGTCAGGCCAATTACTTTTTCATCTTTATGCTGCTGCCAGAGAGGTCCCTTCTGCCTACTACTGTGGGTTAACAGAAAAATCTCTTTGGTCCAATCTGTTGGCGGCTAGCAGTCTCTTTGATAGGGAAGGTACCTGGGTAGGACTGGACTCCACCATATTCATTCTTGCTGAGTGGAAGGCCTCCTATCAGAGCAGACAAGCATGGACCACTATTGGAATAAGACATCATCTCAAAGGCCAACTTTAGAATGAAAGAAACTCACAGAAGAGCACAGCATCAAGCATCTTCCAGAAGGCGTCTGGAGTAGCATGACCGTCCCAGGCAGTCTCCTGCTGACTGCTCAGAGGATGTTTGCTCTGCCCGGTGGAGTGCGGGGAAGGGCCAAGGTGATTAAGCTTATCTGCCTGTGGCTTATGACTTCCCACTTCAGTCCTTTCTCACTTACTCTCCGTGGAAAATCCCTGCCCAGATCAATGTGTTGGTCTCTTGTCTCCTGTACTGTGACCCACTGTGGTCCAGAAGGCTTTGTTTTTCAAACCTTTTAAATCAATTCATAACTAGATATTCGAGTCTGTGCTCTTAACAAGGGTGGAGTCGCCTATTCTCCCAGGAACTAAATGCCCCTCCTCTGAAGAGAGTATATGCTCAGTATGAAACGCCCTGCCTATCTCAGGAGTAAATACAACTTAAAGGTAAAAATAGAGCCAGAAAAAACCAAAAGCTGGAATCATTTCGGGGAGGGGGGGGGAAGGGAAAGAAGCAGATTTAACTGGTGCTCAAAGCTTCTCTGATACAAAATATTTGGTCATGTGTTCATAATTCGCTTGCCATTTCCAGCAAAAAAGAAGACGCAATAACAAAAGAAACTTCTTAAAAAAGAAGAGAAAGACACAGAGCCCTGGCATTTTCTGTTGGAACAAAACTCTTCTGCTTTGTTCATATACAGTTAAGTTCATTTAGCGTCTGATCCAGTGTCTGATGTAAGCCCACGTTCTCTTCTTTGGCCTGGGCAAGTTTCTCTGGTGAGGGTTAAGAGAGGAAGGGAAAAAGAAATTAATATACATCTTTGTTAAAAGGGAAAAAACCCCCAAACAACTCTAAATCCCAAACTGCCAGAATGAAAGTCACATCAGAGGAGGAAGACTGTGTATTAGTTACAACACCACACCACGGGACACTAGAGACCAGGTTCAACGTTTGTGAGCCAGAAGGGCCGTCAGACAAAATACGGGGCACTCAAGGTAAATCCAGGGAAAACTGGTGGCTTAGCAGTAAGGAGTTGTGCTGCTGACCCATAAGACATGCAGTTCGGATCCACCAGCGTCTTCTCCTGTGTGATTTTTACTGCCTCTGAAAAACCTGCTGGAGGATCAGCTGTGAGTTGGTTCTGACTCGATGGCACCCAACAACAACAGTTAAGTGTAGGGTGCTCTGGTGGCTTAGTCCACTGGGAAGTGCACTGCTGACCCAGAGGCTGGTTGGAATTCACAGCAGCCTCGTAGGAGAAAGATGGGCAATTGCATCCTGTGTGATTTAGAAACCCGACGGCGGGTCACCTACTCTATGGCAAGGAGATGTGGGCTTTCCCCCTCAGTTAAATCTGAATTTCAGACAAACCAATGATTTCTTATTGTCATTATGTCCCAAATGTTGCTAGAGACACACCAAAAATTATCCACCAATTTACCTAGAACTCCAATGTCACTAGATAGCCTATTCCCTACCTCCACCCCGTGCCCGATTTGCTAAATCTGGCAAGTGCAGAATCAGGACACGTAGGTGTAAGCCTGGGTGATTCTCTGAAGTGAGCCATCTTAACCTGTCAAGGTCTCAGTTTTCCCATCCATCAAGTGGGGATGCTGAGACCAAAGTGTGATTCTAGGTCTATGTGGTACGAGGCACACATGAGAAATGCTACACAAATATTAAGATCTTCAGTCCCAGACGGGGGTCACTGAATATTCTGTTGACTTAATTCCAGCTCAGCCACTCCACACGCTAGAGACCACCTGCCCCTTGGCGTTTCCCAGGCTTTATGGGAATATATTACAGGGTCATTTCTCTCGCGGAGCAGCTGGTGGGTTTGAGCTGCTGACCTTTTGATAATAAAGAAATACTCCTGCACCACCAGGGTCTCTAAGCTATTCCCGCTAATGCTAGTCAATCATTCTCAAGCCGTGAGTAGGAGAATACACTCCCCATAGTCCATCTTTCTTACAGTTTCTGACAATGGCTGTTTGAACACATTCCAGTCCTAATTGTGCTGTTTTGTCTGTGTGTATGGTGCCATGAAGTCAAGCCCCAGGTCAATGCAACATGACTGGTATTGAAACTAGACTCTGGCCAGTGGGTTCAAGGAAGAAAGGGCTGGTAAACGGTTTCCAGAATGATTACATCCACAATGACCTCATGGAACACATTTATTCCATTGCACGTGGTCATCATGTACTGGAATGGAACCGATAGCGACGGAGTTGTTTTTTTTTCTTTTACAAGCATGTTATTAAGCAGCTGTTGTTGTTAACTGCCTTCCAATCGAGCATGACTCATAGCGACCCTATGAACGAAAGGCCTGAAGCCCCTCTACAACTACTGACATTTATCAAAGTTCATAGAGTTTCTGGAGGCATGTGGTTTAGGAAGTGGACGAGCTGATGAAATAAAAACAAAAGCAAAATGCCAGCTCGTGCCATGCGTGACCGAGTATGGCAGGAATCTTCTGTAAACTGAGAGATGACTGATAAGGGCCTCGGCCGAGACGGATTAAAATCCTGGAGGAGAGAGCTACATGCCTCATAAAATGTGATAGGATCAGCTAGGAAATTTCCAGAATGGGGAAAAAAAAATACAGAAAATAACAGCCCTTCTTCTGCAGCTACAGCCCCACTCACTTGACAAGGCATGTAAAAACAACCCCAAGAGTGATCTGAAAGAATTCATCGGAGAAAGACATTGGCCTGGGCTGATCAGCTCGGAACTGACCAGTTTTAGCATATGTGGGCCATTTTCTCTATTTGTTTTGTTTTTATTCCTTCTATTTTCTTTAATGCTCGTATAACCTGTAGTTTGCACAAAAGTATGCAGTTCGAATCCACCAGCTGCTTTGTGGGAGAAAGACGGGCAATCTCTTGTCAGATTAACTGCCTCCAAAATTTTGCTGAAAGGTCAGCTATGAGTTGGTTCTGACTTGACAGTTCACAACAACAGGACGCAGCTCACTCCACGCTACACACGATAACAGTAGTAGCGTGTGTGGAGTTTGGATTCAAACCCAGGTGTCCTGACTATGAATCCTGCCCCCACTTCCCTTTGCTATCTACATTCCCCGGCATCTACTTTGTTCTTTGCTATTCTTTGCTGTCAGGCTGGGTCTGTTCTGGTGACCCCAAGGGGGACAGAGCAGAACTGAGCTCCCTTCAGAAGCAGATCACCAGGCCTTGCCTTCCGAGGGACCACCGAGTGGGTTCAAAGCCCCAACCTTTCAGTACGCAGCTCAGTGCTTAACTGTCTGTACCACCCAGGGACTCTGGCTGAATTAGAACGATTTTCCCTTAAAGTGCTAATCGCCCATGTGAGTTTTGAGTTGTGAATGGGTGTGAGCAGGACTCTGCACAGACCTCCTCTCTGGAGAAGTCGCACCTAGGTGCTTACCGGGGCAGAATGACCGGACGGGCAGGGCTGTAGTTATGTCAAAGGGCGGAGGCTCAAATCGTCTCCGGAAAAAACCCCAGGAGCAAATATGTAGAGAGCAAACCACCCAAAGCACCCACCCACACACGGTCAGTCATTTTTCCCACACTCATGTGCACGAGGGCAGAGGTTCTGGATGGACAGTGAATGTCGGGAACATGGAGAGGTGGGGTGGGGTTGGAGGAGATGTACTTGGGAGGAATAACTATAAAGAAAAATTGGGACAGAAGTTCTCACCTAAATGAAAGGGGGGAAAAAAGGCCTAGGAAGCATAAGCTGCTGTGTTGCTGTTAGTTCCTGTTGGGTGGGTTGTATCTCATGGTGTCTCTGCGTGCAGAGGACTGAGCCATAGGGTGGTCAGGGCTGGGACCGTTCAGAAGCAGATTCCCAGGCTGTGCTTCTTGGGCACCTCTGGATAGGTTTTTACCATCACCTTTTCAGCTGGTGTTCGGGCACTCCATGTGTACCATTCATAGCCAGCTAGCTACCCAATCCCACTGCCCTCTGACGTGGCGACTCTCCCTCAGACCGCCAAGGATAGAAATCTCTGAGGGAGGAGACTGCCCATCTTTCTCCTGCGCAGCAACTGGTGCATTAGAACCACTGACCGTTCAGTCAGCAGCGAGCATGCACTACAGCATTGCTATCAGCTGGTGACTTCCGTGCCAGTTCTACCTACGGGGTTGGGGGGTGGGGGGAGTGTGGAAGACAGGCTTTAGGCTTTGTTTGGAATGTCAGTGTTTCTGGAACGCTGGGAGCTGCTAGTGAGATACAGAGGAAAACTGGCGAGGCTGGAATTTGGGACCATCTGGAAGCTTGACCATTAGCATCCACAGGTCAATTCTGAGTTGTTACTGAAATCAGTACAAGATCCCTGAGTATAGATGTTATGAGGAAAGGAAGGGGACAGAGCCTCAGTCAGCTCTGCCTGGGACTTGAGAAGAACCACCTTGTGTCCTTCTCTGGCACCAAGCAGCTCTCCCACTCCCTCTCCTTTCTCTCTCATCCTTTGGGGAGGCTTGTGTCAAGAGCAGAGTATAGAGTTGAGCTGCTGTGTGAATCTTCTCTAGTGTCTGAACATTCTGTGAACAGTGAAGACACAGGGAACCCCAGGGCACCACTCCCAGAGAAGGTAACATGCAGAAGACACACAAGACAAGGAGGAGTGAAAAAGGAGACCAGAATACCACTGCCGCTATTTGAATTCGCAGCCCCAATCTCAGTGAGGACAACCTCCTTTCAGACCCAGGCCTGCTGGTCTTTGCCAGTTTGGCTGAATCTATTACGCTGCCCAAGAAGTCTAAAAGGATGCGCTCCATTCAATCAATTTCTATTTAAGGAAAAACCAGTATTGGCATGCAGCTGCAGTGAGCAAGACACCTGGCTCACGCCAACTTGGCTTTTCTTTCCCAGTTTTCAGGAGAGCATCACGTGGGCATACTTTGAAATGTCATAAATGACAGCATTCTTCATTTGTGAGTGCAAGAAGGTGAATCACTCCAAGTTTTGTTCCGGCCATGGTCCAGGGCATCAGAGTTCAAGCTCAAAAGCGGCAAGTGGAGAATAAGGAAAATGAGAAGGTGTGAAGGCGAGAACCGCCTGTCTTTATTTCAGTCACACAGCCACAAACACACACACATCAGAAGAAGGCTTGAGAGAGCAAACCAGGAGGCAGGACAGCGCAGCTCTCAGCAGCCTTCAGGAACAGAGGCACAGAGAGAGGAGAAGGCCGGCTTCGGCACTGCCAGACCGCACCGAGCCCAGCACCGGGGGCAGCAAGCCCACGGGCCCTCAGAGAGAGGTCATGTCGTTGAGAGCATGGTCCAGCTCCTCGCTGATAGCTTTGTACTTCAGCTTCTGAGCATATAACTCGTCTAGAGCGGAGATTCGCCAGGGAGAGAGTTCAGAAGAAGAGGTACAGGGGACAGAATGGGAGAATGTCAGGACGGAGGGCCAGAGATGAGCACCATGAAGAAGGAAAAAAGAAAATAAGTAAAAATTAAGAAAACAAAACATGAACTGAGAGAAAGAGAGAGAGAGAGTTGTGTTCCACGCAAACAGAAACAAAAGGTCTGAGGAGTGGCTGCTGTGTGGTTTGAGGTTCGGCAGGGGATTAGCCGTAATGACACAGCAAAGGAAACTTGAAAAGTGCAGTGACCAGAAACGGCCAGGACTCCGCCAGCCCCCTTGTTTATTTTTGACTTCCAGTGATGTCACTCAGTCCAAAGGTTAGACTTTGGAATGGGGCATTTTGCTCTTATATGGAAACCTCACTTCCCCAAGCAGTGGGGCGTCGGCACTGATCTGTGGGCCCTTTCTGGGCGGGACGTGCCATTCGGGTGATTTGTCTGAACCCTAAAATTTTGGAATTTCCAGGCTAGTCCAGAAAGAACATGAGACAACCTTTTAAAAACTGGACATCAAGCTATCCTGTGACACGTGGGCACCCAACTTAGAGCCTTCATTCGCGTCTCTAACTACAATGAGGTGTTGACAAGTTGATTTCAATGCCAGGGGGCCCCATGTGTGCAGCCCAGAACTGCTCCGGGGTATTTTCAAGGCTGTGGAAACAGCTGGGCTTTCTTGCCAGGCATCTCTCGGGTGGGCTTGAACTGTTAACCTTTTCATTAAAAAAGCATTTAACCATCTGTGTTACCCAGAGACTATTCTGTATATTTCCATTTTCTCATCTCATGATCAGCTTTGATATCTCTGGGAGAGCTAGCATCTATTTAAAAAAAAAAAGGCAACGCATTGCTCAGACATGAGCAATCTAAAAGCATTTCTAAGGACTTATAGGGAAAATAAAAATAGCCATATTTGGGTCTCTGGACTCACATATGGAGCTAATTATACAGAGACGACTTTTTTTTACCTCCCGAAAACAGCAACTCAAGCCTGAGCTTGACATGCCCCTATCCTCTGTTCCCATGCTTCAAGCTTCCAGATGTGACATCATGCCATCCTTTACTTTCTTAAAGGGAAAGAAACCCAGTTCAGCCCGCTCCAGGGCCCTCCCAACTAACTGGGGTTCTGGCGTCTACAGAAAGGCCGAGCAAAGATATTTAGATGATTACGTTCATACCTTCCAGGTCATCAATGGTCTTTTCCAGTTTTGCAACCGTTCTCTCTGCAAACTCAGCACGGGTTTCAGCCTGGAGAAGGGAGAGGGTCACTTTTGATGCTTCAGGACCAGCGCCCTCCCCCCTCCGAAATCTGAATGTGACCACGCTCACCTCTTTCAGCTTGTCTGACACAAGTTTAATTTCTTCTTCATATTTATCCTCCTTTTCAGAATACTGGGAGAGAAAACAAAAGAGAGCTTTAGAAACAGGGGATAGAAGCATGCAGGTTCCAAATGCCTCGGAGAAAAGTGTCCTTCAGGCCCGTCAACATGCCAAGCGTCCCGAAGAAGCAAAGCAGACAGAGGCACTTTTCCAGGGAGAGCAGCCAGCGCATGTGACACTCGGGAAGAAATCTGTGGGAGGCGCCTCCAGAGTGGGATTGACCTGAAGATCTCTGCTGAAAACGTAGATGAAGAAAGTGGTACAGCCACTGTGGAAAGCGGTCCGTGGTCCCTCAAAACTGGTAGCCAGAACTAGCACGGGACTCAGCAGTGCCACTCGGAGGTGGACACTCAGAAGGTATCAAGGCGGGAATGCAAGCACAGAAATCCATACACCAATGTTCAAGGCAGCGCTAGTTACAAGAGCCAAAGGTGGGCATACGTGTCCATTGACAGGACCTACATATTGCCTGGAATACGACTCCACCGTAGTGACAAGTGACATCCTGGTGCATGCCACAGTGCGGACGAACCCTGTGGATGTCATGCGGAGTCAAAGAGGTCAAGTGTGAAAGGAGAAACAGTGTTATGATCTCACATGAAATAGGTACACATCCTTACAGAATACTTGCCAAACTCAAGATCTGGTTACCAGGAGTGGCAGGAGCTTGGTGGCTCCTAACAACGGTAAGTGTTTAGGCTGCTAAGCGAAAAGACTGGTGGTTTGAACCCACCCGACAGCGCCGCAGAAAGACCTGCCAACCTCCTCCTATAAAATTTAAAACAAACACAAAAATAACCCCGCTGGTATCTAGCTTATTTCAACCTAGGGCAACCTTCCACCAAGGTGCTGAGGCTATAAATATTAATAGGAGTAGACTGCCTATCTTTCTCCCTGGGAGCCGCTGGCAGTTTTGAACTGTCGTCTTTTGGTGAGTGGCTCAATGCTATGCCACCAGGCCTTCTTCCTACAGAAAATCCTGGTGGGCATGGGATTTTAGGGGCAGTAAATCACATGAGAGGAGATCGCCCTTCCTCTTCCTATGGAGCAGCTGGTGGATTTGAACTGTTGCCTTTGGGACTGCAGGGCAGCTTCTAACTAGTAGGCTATCAGGGCTCCCTACATTCATGGTAGGAGGAGGATTTGGAAAAAGATAACAAAAGGAATGTACTCAGTGTTACTAAACTAGAAACTGCTGAGAAGACATGCTATTGGGCATTTTTAACACAGTGAAAAAAATGTTTAAAAAAAGGTGTAATGGGGGAGGTATCTGAACAGAAAGGAGACACTGCTCAAGGCCCTTCTCATAGCTGCCCTGGTCTGTATTGGCAGCCTCATCTCTTTCACCAGTAGTATTTCAAAGACCAGCAGAGTCATTTGTTGTAGACAGATTCCAGTGGAATTTCTAGACTGAGGCAGACTAGGAAGAAAGGCCTGACGACTGACTTCTAAAAATTAGCCAGTGAAGATCCTATGGATCTCAATAGCACAGTGCTGACTCTTGCTTGGGACCCATCACCAGGAAGGCCAAGTTGCTGCAGGAGGACCTTGTGTCTGCTGAGGTAGAGGGGAAGGGCTGCTCCTAGTGAGATGGACCCACACTGGATAGTGTGGCTGTTGGAGGACTGGGCAGCATTTAGTTCTGCTGTGCACAGGCCATGATGAGTCACAGCTGACTCAGCCACAGCCAGCAAGAAATGAGGAGGGTTTTTATCAGGAGCAGGAAGGTGGTTTCAAGACTGAGCAAACAGCTGGAGGAAAGAGATGAGAAGGGGAAACACGGAACTTGTGTGAGACTGAAGCTTTCCAAAGCAGATGGTGGACTTGGGTGGGAAGGAAGAGGGAGAACACAGCGGCTGGGCAAACGGCAGGGTGGACGGGCAGTTGCTGAATTCAGCAGTGTCCATGGCTCCTGGCATGGTCTGTCTGGTAGGGATGGCTTTGGGGACAGCTTGAATCTAAAAAGCCCAATTCCACCTCTGATACCAGCTGAGGTGAGCCAAGCCAATTCAAACCCTGGGAGAAGGTACTTCTGAAGGAACCTGGGAATCAGATGACCGTGTATTCTGTACTCAAAGGATTGGGACCCCATCTTCCTAAAGGGGATCTCTGGTGGCCTAGTGGATAGAGAATTATACTGCTAACTTAAACATGGAGCCTCTCCGGCAGTTCGAACTCACCAGTGGCTCCGAGGGACAAAGATGGGCAATATCCTCCTGTGCAATTTACAGCCTCTAAAAACACGCTGGAGAGTTAGCTATAAGTCAGTTCTGACTTGACAGAACTTGCCTTAGTGCAACCACTATGGAAGGCCATATGGAACTTTCTCAAAAAGTTGGAAACAGAAATACCATTTGACCCAGCAATTACACTACTGGGAATACACCCTAAAGAAACCAGAACTGCCACCCAAACAGATTTAGGCACACCCATGTTACTGCTGCATTGTTCACAATAGCAAAGAGATGGAAGCAACCTAAGTGCCCATCAAAAAATAAATGAATAGAGAAAGAGTGGTGTATTCACACAATGGAATACTATGCAGCACTGAAAAATAAGGAACTCATGAAATATTCTACAAAATAGGTGACCCTGGAGGACATTAAGCTGAGTAAAATATCTGTCACAAAAGGACAAATATTGCATAATGCCATTGTTGTAAGGCAGGACTGACATGGGGGTTGAGGGGAAACTAAGAAAAGAGAGGATAAATAATGAACACTGCATTGGAACAGATGAGGAAAAGAACTGTTTAAAAGGAATATATGATTAGGCATCATTTGTATGACAACAGTCCAAAAGAAGAGGTGCATAGCAAAGTGGACTGGGGTGGGGTGGGAGAGGGAGGAAATTGTGCAACAATAAATTATTTTTTCCAAAGAGAAAAGCAAACTGGGGTTGGGGTAGAGAGGAAAAGGTACAATAATGAATGAATGGAAATCCAAGTTTTCAGTAAACTTTTGTTGAAAATGAATAAAAAATTCTATCTATAGATAAAAAACCAAGCCTACATTCATGAAGTTAATTTTGACTCATAGTAATATCACGTGTGTGTAGACCAGAACAATGGATTTTCAAGGCTGTGCCCTTTGGGAAACAGATTTCCAGGACTTTCTCCCAAAGACATCTCTGGATGGGTTTGAACTGCTAACATTTCAGTCAGTAGTCAATGACTGAATGATTTGCACCACCCCAGGGCTCTTTAAGCCAAAACCAACTGACAAAAAAAAATCCAATTAAAACTGCTGTTTCCAAGTCAATTCTGCCACATGGTGACTGTATACATGTTAGAGTGGACTGCACCTCATGGAGTTTTCAGGACTGTGACCTTTCAGAAGCGGATCACTAGGCCTTCCTTCCGTGGCACTGTGGGGTGAGTCTGAACTGCCCATTTTTAGGTGAGCAGTTGAATGCGAACCATCTGCCCTGACCAGGGGCCTATGTGCCAACCTCAGAGTTCATCTCCACTCTAATTTGAGGTCGAGATAAAAGATGGTGCCAGGACCCCACAGGAGAAGCCCTAAGAGTCCAGGTGAGAGATCAAGCCACCGGGTCCCTCTCTGTACTGGAAAGAAATTCAGCTGCTGGGCACCAGAGCAGCTGTTAACAACTGAAGGTCAGATTCCCGATACACCTTGTCATGCTCACGTGTCCCTCCGGGGAAGCAAAGAACAAGGCCAGCAAGTCACCCCCAAACCCAAGCTGCCACCAACCTTTTCTGAGGCTGCCTCGAGTGATTTCAGATTGTTTGTGACATTCTTGAGTTCTTCCTCCAGGTCGCCACATTTTCTGTACAAAGACAAGGCATCTGGGTTTGTATGTGTGTGTGGGAGGGAGACTCGTCCACCCTTAGAGCAAGCAGCAGCACCCCCCTGCCCCCGAAGAAGTTTTCACAAAGGCGCCTTGGAAGGAATGTGGGAAAACATTTTTAGTGGATTCTTCCAGGAGGGCAGGCTGTGTACTTATCACACTCGAGCCATACCAGGGCGAGGCACGGCGGGCCTGGGAGGATCTGAGAGGTTCCTGAAGGGCTCCTGGGCCCCTGCCAAGGGTGAGGCCACACGGCCTTGTGAAATCTGTGATTGATGAGGCTGGCTCCGGAAGGTGGAGGAATGAGACCGAGGGCAGGGGGTTGGGAGACAGCACTCGGGAGTTTACACGGGCCAATCAGGCTGGATCAGTGAAACAAGATCTCTCCTGGCTCTGTGGGAGTCTCTCAGACCTGGATTCCTCAGCCATCGCCAACAGAGGCAGCTTTCCAGTTTTTTTCAGAAATGCTTTGGATCCCGGTCAAGCTCCTCACCTCTCTCCTCCCCAGGAACGTGTCACAGCCAAACACTGACATCAGGAGCTGAGCATTTGGATGCCACGGGGAGGCACTGCCTCCCTGGGAAAACGGGACCGTGGGATTCTCCCCACCCACCCCTCTCTCACAAGATTCCTGAGGAGGGAACTGTGTCCCCCACCTCAAAGAAATGTTGGAATTCTGATCCCTCTGTGTCACTCTCATCCCATTTGGGGGAGGGAAAGAGTTGTTTTTTTTGGGGGGGTTGTGTTATTTTATTGTTAGGCGCAGGATGGAGGCCATAACTGGTAGAAGTCCTGACTGAAGTCAATCTCTTTTGAGAGAGAAAAGGACATCAGACCCAGAAGCACTGATGGAGAGATACATGCCACATGGAGATGGCCAAAGACCCTCGGGACAGATCTTAAGGAGAGACAAGGACCTTCCCTAGAGCTGACAGAGAGCAAGGCTTCCCCTGGAGGTGGCAATCTGACTTCAGACTTCTCGCCTCCTGGACTGTGGGACAATACAGTTCTGTTTCTTAAGCCTCCCACTTGTGGTATTTCTGTGACAGCAGTTCCAGCAAAGGAATGAACACATACACACATACTACCCCTCCCCCCCCCCCCCCCCCCCCCCAGTCTCTTTGTAAGGCACAGTCCACATGTGGTCACCATTTCCCAGAGCAGGAAGGACACACAGGCATCATCTGTCTTTTGTCTCCCAGGACATAACGAGGAGGGACTGAGCAGGGCGTCTGTCCCAAGTGCCCGACTCTGGGGGCAGAGCTGCTTCCCGCCTCCCCTGAGCCCAGCTGGGCCCCAGCCCGTCTGGTTCTGCCACTCACAGTTCAGACACCTCGGCACGCTCCTCCGCTCTCTCCAGCTCACCCTCCAGGATGACCAGCTTACGAGCTACCTGCAGAGACAGAAAGGTTGGGCTGAGCCTGACCCTCAACACCCCAACTTGTAGGAGGTCTCCCTGCAGACAGCATAGCCTCAGGCCCAGACCATCTGCAACCAGGATGTCTTGCTGGTTCCTCAACTCAGGGAGTCCTGGGGCTGGGTCTCCCCCAGCCCCATCCTTTGTTGCATTGCTATCATATTTCCCTTGAGGTCTGAAGTCATGGCAACCCTATGTGTGCAGGGTAAGACTGCTGCATCAGCTTTCCAAGGCTGTGACCTTTTGAAAAATGGATTGCCAGGCCTTACTTCCGTGGCACTTGTGGGTAGGTTTAAACTGCCAGTCTTTCCGTAAGCCCAGTGCTTTAAACCATTTGCACCACCCACGGATTCCCTTCCATAGGGCTTTTAAGGGGCTAATCATTTGGAGTACTGATTGCCACATCATTCTCTGAGCTGCCTCCGGGGAACCTGAAACCTCCAGGTGGCGGCCAACCGCCTGCCATCACTAGGGACCCTTGGAGAAAATGAAATTCTGGCCAAGGGAGAAGAGCTTGCCCAGGGAGGCACAGGAAGAGGGGCTGGGTTCCTGGTCTGCAGATTTGTGGCCGAGGACAGGGTGTCTCAATTTCCGTCACACTGTGCTGTCAGAAGAAGATCTGTGGGTGCAAGCGGTTTGTGGTCAGGTGTGAAGGTGAAGGTAGGCAGTTTGAACCCAACCAGAGGCTTGAGGAAGAAAGGCCTGATGATCTGCTTCCATAAAGCCAAGAAGACTCTCTGGAGCAGTTCTCCTCTCGAATACATGGGGTTGCCATGAGTCAGAATCAGCTGGATAGCCCCAGTCTGGTGTCTTTGGTTTGGGCTGTTGAAACCTCCCGCTGATGCACATGAGTGATCTGATCAGTTTGTTTTCCCTAGCAGACAGAGAGCTGCCCCGGACCTTTGGCCCCATGGAAGGTACAGTTTTCCAGCCAAGAGGCTGACTCTGGAAAAACAGATGTAGCCGCAGAAGGACAGCTGACCTCATCAAGAGCTTCCGACAAGAGGCCCAGGCGTTCCCTATCAGCAGCCCCGTTTCCTCCCCACTTCCCCGCTGTCCCCGCCATCTGCTGGCCCAGCGCACCTCCTCGTATTTGCGGTCAGCCTCCTCGGCGATGTGCTTGGCCTCTTTGAGCTGCATCTCTTGGATCTCCATCTTCTCTTCGTCCTTCATGGCCCGGTTCTCTATCACCTTCATGCCTCTGCAAGAAGCAAGTTCATCAAGACCACGGCCACCCCACACTGCCCGTGCTCCACAGGCCTGAGAGCCAGGCGTCCACTTCACGTTTGCTGTTTATGGATTGAATGGTGCAATCCCCAAACATGCTGGATTCCTTCCAGTTATGCCTGTGGATGTAACTGCGTTTGGAAACACAGGGTTTTCTTTGTTACCTTAACAGGCCGCATCAGAGATTGTATTAGGGTGGGTCCTAAATCTCATCAGTCCTGAGTTGTAAGGAACAGCACTGACCCTTTGTTAGTTATTGCTGAGTCGGTTTAAGTCCTCATGACCCTACACGTGAAAGAACAGGACTCTGTTCTGTCAGGTTTTCAGGGCTGGGACCTTTCAGAAGCAGACCATTAGGATGATTTTCCAAGGTGTCTGTGGGTGAGTTTGAACTGCTGACCTGTGGGCCAGTAATCAAGTGTTCACATGTTTATGCCAACCAGGGATATTCCACAGTCTAGACACAGAGACAGGCTAATGGGGGGAAGCGAGGTGCTACGTGAGATCACCAAAGAAGCAAGAAATATGGGGGCTTCAGGACCTCCCCCCAGTACAGAGACAGGCCTTCCCCTAGAATGGGGGCCCTGAACACTGATCTCGATCCTCCAGAACTGTGAGAAAGTAACTTTCTCTAAGACCAGTCATTTGTAGCATTTGTGTGACAGCAGCACTGGGAGACTGAGATGCTCACCACTATCAGACACTGTTTTATGTACCTTCACTGCCACTACCGCCCTGGGAGAAGGCACACTGGCTCCATTTCACAGATGATCAAATTGAGGCTCGGGAAGGTTACCCTCAGGCCTTGTGGTTGTTGCCAGCTGCTGCTGAGTTGGCCTTAACTCCTGGCAACCCCATGGAGACAGAAGAAAATGCTGCCCGGGCCCGAGCCATCCTCTTCATCGGTCTTGAGCTCGACCTTGGGGTATTTCATCACCAGACCTTACTTCTGATGCACCTCGGGGCCTGCTTAAACTAACAATCTTTCAGCTTGCAGCCCAGCCCTAACCACTTTGCCACAAGTGATGCCCCTTCAGATAGCATCAGAGAGCGCTGAAGAGGCTAGCCTATCAGAATGTGTGGAGCACAGAGCACAGGAACACACACTTCCTGCCATCCAGGACGTCCCTTTGGGCTGTCACACAGCGCTCAGGAAACTGTCAGCACACCCTCTGGTCTGGCACGAGGCCTCACTCTGAGAGCAAGCGAGTAAACACGCCAAGATGTCTGTTCTCGACAAGCCCTTTGCAGGGCTCAGATATCAAAGTGGTCTGTCCACACAGCAAGCAGTGTGGGGTGCTTGAATCTCAATCCGCCTCTTCCAAGTGCAGCATCCTTTGTACCAAACCCATTTTGCCATCATACCAGTTCCAGCTGACAGCAAGCTTCTATATTCCAGAACAGAATAGCTCCAAAGGCTTCTTATCTTAATGGAAACAGAATGTCAGAACCTTCTCCCGTGGAGCCGCAGAACGGGTTTGAACCACTAATCTTTAGAGTGGCAGCCAATGACAAACCATTGTGCCACCCAGGGACCAACTGAAGACAGCAGTCTCCAACACAGCTGTGTTCCCTGTGGTGACAGTGTGCAATTTAGTGAGTGGCCTTCCTAGGATGTCATTGGGATATCCTTCGAGTGAGACATTTGGCTGGACCTGTTGGACTGACACCATGGCCAGCAGCTAGGATACCAGCCAGCACAACTGTGACCTCCCTGTTCTTGGGTCCTCACATATTAATTGCCAGGCTGCCCTGCTAGCCACCATCTCCCTCTACCGAGGCGCTGAAGCGGAATCTGCACTGGGGTTCGGGTCCCTTGCCCTGGCTCATTCACTATAGAAGGAATACTTTATTTTTTAAAAAAATTGTTATCGGTTGAACTGTGTCCCCAAAACATTTGTTCTAACTCCTCTATCTGTGGAAGGAGCCTTGGTGGCACAGAGGTCAAGTGCTCCACTGGCACTCACAAGGCTGGTGGCTCAAACTCAACAGTTGTTCCAGGAGAGAGACTGGCAGTCTGCTGAGGTAAAGACTCGCAGCCTTGGAAGCCCCATGGGGCAGTTCTGCTGTGTCTTTTAGGACCAGAACCACTCAATGGTGATAGTGACTGAAGAGATCCCATTTGGAAAAAGGGGCTTTTCTTTGTTATGTTAGTGAGGTCACATTTGTGTTGGGAGGGCCCTAAGAATCCATTAGACAGAGAGAAATGGGCACAGAGTCGAGGTGCGTGCACAGAATTGAGGAACTCTTCCTTTTTAACAGCTGAAAGCGACAAGGGCCTGCCCTTAGATCTGATACCTTGAACAGGAATTCCCAGCTTCCTGAATTTGAAGTACATAAATTTCTGTTCAACAGGCCACCCCCCTTGTGGTACTTCCGTTACAGCAGCACTAGGAAATTAAGACACCAGGGGAACAACTCCACCAGACTCCAAGAGTCTCTACTTGCTCTTTTATCTCCAGCTTACAATTCCAACACCACAGTCAGAAAAGATTCCTTCCTTCTAGAAGAGGTCAGGCTTGATGAATTATGTCTTAGAAAAGGGGCAGCACAAGCGCTCCCTGGAGGCAAGGATGGCAAAGCTTTGGAGAGGCTATTCCTTGGAAAAGGACATCATGCCTGGAAGGGCAGAAAGTCAGTGAAAGAGAGCAAGACCTCCATTAGTGACTACAGCAATAGGTTCAAGGGTATCTATCAGAGATGGTTAGCCTGGCACAGGATAGGACAGGGTTCAGATCTGTTGTTAATAAGGTCTCTATGAGTCTGACTCGATTCAATGGCCCCTGACAACAGGCAAGGTGACTGCAGAGACAGGTCCAATGAGAAGTGTGGCAGGGTCGCATTTCTGTCAAGTCCTCATACTTCCTGATACACAAGAGCATGCTGCAACAGTCACGTCAATCCACTTGGCTCAAGGGTCTTCCTCTCCTTCGTCAACCCTCCACCCTTCCCAGCATCATGTTCCTTTACAAGAAATAGTACCTCCTAGCAACACGTCCAAAGTATGTGAGGTGAAGTCTCATCATCCTTGCCTCCAAAGAGCATTTCGGCTGCACCCTCTCCAAGGCATATCTGTTTATCTTTTTGGCCACAGGGTCACATAGTGGATACAATTTGCTACTGGCTGGCCCACATGTTACCACACAAGGACCCCACTGACCACCAGAAACAGTTCCCACTTACAATGATCTTAGAGGACACAGCTGAACTGCCCCACATAGTGTTTCCAAGGCTGCCATCTTTAAGAAAGCAGGCTACCACGCTTTCTCCCAAAGAGCAGCTGGTGGGTTAGAACTGATGATCTTTTTGGTTAAGAGTCGAGCGTGGAACCACTGCACCACTTGGGCTCCTTATGGTGTAAACCCGGCCCCAAAGAGGTGCTTGTAAATCCAAACTTCTTCATCTATGGATGCAACTGGCATCTGAGAATATGATTCTCTTTGTTATGTTAACAGTGATGCCATAGCTGTTCGGGGCATATTCTAAATAAACCTCATCATTTCTGGAAAAGGAGCAGAATGGACACAGTAAAGAGTAAGCATAGACGGAATGCCTGATGCCTCTGGGAGATCAACAAGGGACGAAGGAGGAGAAGCGGAAAAAGCAAAGACCTTCCCCTAGAGCCGAGAGTGAGCCTTTCCTCAGAGCCAGTGACCTGAATTCAGATAGCCAGCCTCCTGACCAGTGACAAAAATAAGTCCAACAACTTTGAAGTCACTTTAAAATTTGTGTTATTTGTTACAGCAGCACTAAGAGCCTGATCCATTCATTGTCTAGCGGCCTAAAGCCCAGCCCATGTGGAAAGTTTTTCCCTCTTTGCTTTCAAGCCAAGGAGCATCAGTCATCACACACTTAACCTGTTGTCATTGAGTAATTCATGAAAACCTCTTTCACTGTTACCAACACTGTGGATGAGTCTTCTGTGTACAACACAATGAGGTGGAATGGACATTAACACCCATACCTTGGTTGGGATTCTCATCTCAGCCACCTGGTGTTTACTTGGGAACCAGACTCAGCCTTGAAGGCAGCCCATGTGTGTGTGTGTGTCAGAGAACAAAATGTAGATCTTACCAACTTTCATTCTGGTCAGCCACACCAACCCAAACCTTTCCATCAAGTGGATTCTGACTCACAGCAACCCTCGATCAAGTTTCCAAGGCTGTAAACCTTTTCAGAAGACTGCCCATCCTTCTCTCTTGGAATGAATGATTAATGGATTTGAACCACCAACCTTTTGTTTAGCAACCCCATGTTACGCCTTATGCCACCAGAGGTCCTTAGATCAGACATATGATTCGCATTTTCTGAAAGCAAAGAAGCCACTGGATCCCAAGGGGTCTTACCTCTCACTCTCATCAGCAGCCTTCTCTGCCTCCTCCAGCTTCTGCAGGGCTGTGGCCAGGCGCTCCTGAGCCCTGTCCAGCTCCTCCTCCACCAGCTGGATGCGTCGGTTGAGAGCTGCCACATCACCTTCAGCCTGGGTGGGAGGAAGGCAGCCAGTTAAGAACAGGACAGTCAGCAATGGAATCCCTTCTACCCTGGGCAAATTCGCTTCCTCCCCAAAGCCCATCCAGCAACCCAGGCAGTCACACTCTTTTCTAGAAAGAGAGTATGAATTTCCAGAATGATTATCCTCCCCAAATGCCAGGAAACATCTGTCATTTAAACAACAAAAGGTGTGTCCTAGTACAGGATGGGAGGTCAGGTCAACAAAGAGAAAAACAAGGAGCACACCACCGGCTCAAGACAACAGTGCTGACTTTTCCAGTAACTTGTAACAGACTCAAATAGCGGTCATTTCCCTGTAAAGTGCATGGTGGGTACAGTGTTCCTGGGTCCCTGGAGAGCAAATCCATTGGCGATCCAGTTTACCCTGCCATAGAGGGTCTCTTCACAACTATTTGAAGGACAAAGCAAATGAAAAAATATGAGATCCTTATTCTATAGAAGAATTCTGACCAAAAGGGTGGAAATGCGGAACAGAACCTCATAGTCTAATGGAATCCAGACTTCCTAGAGCTATTGAGGCTGGATAAACCCCCAAACTAATTCCTAAGGGATTCTTTCGTTTTAAATGGAAAGATTTTTATCCCTTGAAATCATCTATAAACCAAACAAATAGTTTAACTGAATTAGAAAAGAATGTCTGTCGTGAACATTACACTCTCTTAAAGAATCTACATGAGCACAAAACTTCGGCAACAGTAACTTGAGAGGTCAGATGAGAAGCTGACAGGAGCAGTGAGTTTGTGCTGATGATGGTCAAACAATTTGGAATAGGATGACAAGTGGCATAACTTAAAGAAGGAATCAGTATCAGGGAATCACACATGTAGAAATTGCTGAGTTGATGTATGCTCTGCTGCGTGTATTTTCATAAAATAACCAACCAAAAAAGATCATTGAGTGGTTAAAAAAAAAACAAACATTATGGGAAGCTACTATGAGATACCACTGAAGGCGTATCAGAGTGGCAATGATGAAAAAACTAACAAAAACCAGTGGAAAATGGGAGTCGATGAGGTGGTGGAAAAACCGGGAACCCTCGCCCGCTGCTGGTAGAAATACAAAATGGTGCAGCCACCACAGAAAAGAGGTTGGTGGTTTCTCACACAGCAGAACACAGTTATCATATGAGCTAGTGATCTTGACTACCCAGAAGTGAAGGCAGGAATGCAGACTGAACCAGGCTCCGCCCAGGGTCAACGCAGTGCTTGCCACAAGGGCCAAGAGGTGGACACAGCCATACTGTCCACCGAAGGATGAACTGATGGATAAACACAATGCAAAATACTCATCCAATGGCATATCACACAGTTGGACAGAACAGGAGTCCTGCTGTTGACCCCACACGGATGCACGGAAGGCATTACACTAAGTGAAGACAGTCAGTCGCAAAAGGACGTACAATTTCACGTACATGAAAAAATGCAAATAACCAGAATCCAAAGCTTATGAGTGGTTTTCAGGAGTGGAGGGAGGGCTGCAAGGAAACACTTTGTCGCTGAGAAGGGCACTGCATTTACGAAGGAGAGTCGTACAGCTCGGAGGGTGTAATCAAGGCCACTGGAGCGTGCAGACCCCATTCCATTGGCGAGTGTGCTGTGCACCAAAATAAAACTGGTGTCTCAGTTAAATCTTGGCCATCGGGGGCCAAGAGGAGAGAGGTGATGAGACAAAAAAAATAGACAAAGGAAAGACAGCCCGTTCCCAGGCGGAGAGGAGGTATCTATCTGGTGTCTGGAGGGTGTTGGTTGGTCAGATGTTTTCACCCGCAGGATAGACGACGCGGCAGAGTGCACCAATGCAGAGACATGGATCAGGACCCTGGCGTGGCTTCTCTGAGCCCATGTGGCACTGGGCACACTGTTTTTGCTTGAACGACTCTTCTTTCTCAGTAGAAAAGGCGTACAGTGGAAGGCGTACTATGGTGCCTGGTCCACACTCAAAAACCCCCCAACAAACCAAACCAACACACACACACACACACAAAAGGCGTACAGTGGAAGGCGTACTATGGTGCCTGGTCCACACTCAAAAACCCCCCAACAAACCAAACCAGCTGCCAGCAAATCAGCTCTGACTCATCAGCAACCCCATATGTGTGAGCACAAAAGTGCGTTCAACACGGTGTTCCCCGGTGTCATCTTCTCGGAAACAGACCTTTCTCCTGAAGGGTCTCGGGGTGGTCTGGAACTACCAATCTTTTGCTTGTTAACTGAGTGTTTCAGTGACTGTACCACCCAGGGATTCTTCCTGGAACACCAAAGGCAGTAGCTCCTATCATCAGTGTTATAGTTCAGTTCACGTATCTCACCCCTTTTGCAGACAGGAACAACTGAAAGACTCAGCTAAATGAAGGGGTTTGTTCACGACCACAGAATTGGTCTCCTGCTACCCTCAGCTTAGGGTGCCTTTTTCTGAACCTGCACCCTGAGTTTGAGGGGGTTTGAGACTAGATGAGTTAGCCACAAAAAAGATGGAATATTAGGTATTAATCAAACGAGAGTCCGCAGACATGAGAAGAGAGGGTTCTGTTCAAGTCACAGTGCCCATGGCCATCAAGCCCACTCTGACTCATGGTGGCCCCACCCACGGGTTACAGAGGACAAGGGAGCACCAGGAACTTTACGGATGCACATTTCCAGGCTTTTCTTCCATGCAACATGGAAGGGTGTATCGTACATACCAACACTCTCCCCCCAAAACAAACACCACACAAGAAAAGAAAAACAAAAACTCCAGACCAGTTTGGCCAACAAGGTAACTATTAATTCATAGAGGTTTGAACCCCCAACCTTTAGGCTAGAAGGTGATTTGAAATCATTTGTACCACTAGCTTTTTTTGTATCAAGACAAGCAAGAATCTCTCACAGATGAGTGAGGAAACTCTTCTCTCACCTGCCCTTTAAATTTATAGAGCCCTCCCCGCAAAATAGCATGGGCTCAGAGCTGTTGAAAACCAAAGGTGGAGAATCAGGGAACTACAAGTCAGAGGACAGGTGTTCTGAATCAAAAACTCCTCGAAAATATCCATTCGGAAACTCCATTAAAACCACCGGCTGACATGTAGCCAACCCAGGGATTCCTTCCAATAAGGGTGAAGGGAAATTTGGGCCGCTGATGGTCAAACAGCATGGTGAACGCATTTAACGTCCCTGAGCCGTAGTCAATGAGGACCACTGAAATGGTCAACGTTTTGTTACCAGTGGCCTAGTATGAAGAGCTGCCCTCCCAACACAAAGATGGGCAGTTCAAATCCACCAGCTGCTGCTTGGGATTAAGATGGTAAATCTCCTCCCTTGCAATTCACAGTTTCTGAAAACCTTCCAGAAGACCAGCTATTAGTTCCAACTCCACAGCAGTAAGTGTGGAAGACCAGCTATTGTAAGAAATAGCCCCCCATTTCCTCCTGCTGATGAGTGAGCGCCTTTTAAAAAAAAATGATCCTTAAGTCTGCCCATTCAATTGCACCATCAGGGGGCAAGAATTCATTTTTCTCCTTCCAGAGGTTTTTGGTATAGCCACAAGGTTGTGCAACCACTATCGCTATCTAATTTCAGAACATTTTTACCACATTAAAGAGGAAGCTTGTCCTTTTAGAAACGGATTCTTAAGATCACACACTAAAGTGCTTGATAAATGAGTTATCTTAAAAAAAAAAATAATTTTAATGAGCATTTACAGAGATTTTGGATTTCCATTCATTCATTGCTGCACTTCTCTCCCCGCCAAGCCCCCCCAGCCCCCAGTTCGCTCCTCTCTTTCAAAAGTAAAAGAAACACTGCCTCCCTGGTACACAATCCCCCCGCACCCCTCCGACCGCCCCAAGTACATTCCACTATGCACTTAATTGTGGACTCTTGTGATAACCATAATACCCTATCATATATTGTTTTTAAATTATTCACTCCTCATCTGTTTCAGTGCAGTATACACAATTTATCCAGTTTTCCTCAGTCTTACCCCCACCCTGATATCAGTCCCATTTTGCAACAGTGGCACCATACAATATTTGTCCTTATGAGTTATCTTTAAAAAAATAAAAGGGAGCTACCTCTTCTGGAGGCAATTCTGAGGTTTGGCAGCTCTGTTTTTGGCATATTTTAAACCGTCTGCAATCTCTGAGATGAGTGTGTGTGTGTGTGTGTGTGTGTACACTTGCGCTGCTGGTACAATTGTTAAAGAATCTGACCACCTACCAAAAGGTTGGCAGTTCAGATCCACCCACTTGCTGAGGCACAGAGAAGGATGTGGCAGCGTGCTTCAAAACACACACACAAACACACACACACCACTCACAAAACAAATAGCTATTGCTGTGTGCCACCAAGTTGGAACCCACTCATTGCTGACCCTTCAATGTCTTTTTAGAGGCAGGAAATCGCACAGGAGGAGACTGCCCATCTATCTCCTGTGGAGCAGCGGGTGGATTGGAGCAGCGGATGGATTGGAACAACATGCCTTTGGGATTGCAATGCAGTTTCTTACCACTAGGCCACTTAGATACCCTAAGGCCTCTGTCCTCCAGGTTCGCTATGCATTGGAATTCACTAGATGGCAACAGGTTTTGTAGGTTTTAGAGAGAGAAAGTGTGTATGAGCGAAGCCTGTGAAAGCCAGAAATTGAAGAGACTGCCTTGTTTTTCCAAGTCTTGAAACTTTCCTGTCACTCTCTATAGTAGAAAATACTTGTTTTCTTTCTATCTTACCCAGGCTGGAAGGCTCTACTCTAGAAGTGTCATCACTAGATACCACTGAGTCAACGGTGACTCACCAGGACCCCAAATGAATAGGCTAAACCTGCTTGACTTTTCAGGGTTCTGACCCTTCAGAGGTAGACCTTGGTACCTTGCCTTGGGAGGCGCATCTGGATGGATTCGAACCGCTAACCTTTCCGCTAATAGTCAAGTGCTTAACCATTTGTGCTGTATTCTCACACTCTCCCCTTCTTCTCAAACTGTACATATATGTATTTGAGAAAAAATGCTTGTCACTGCTAGTCACTCCAGGCCCCGCCTCTTCCTGCAATCAAAGCCTTCCACAGGCTACAAAGGATTTCCCTTATAAGGTAAAAGAGGCTTGCTAGATACATGTGGCAAAGGAACAGGAAGATGTCGGTTAATCACACAAAAATCTAAACGAAACCAGCTGCTGGGAGGCCGCCCCAGAAGTCTGCCACACGCCGGCTCACAGGGGTTTTTTTTGCCTCTGGCCTCAGTTCCTTTGCCCAGAAACCTTCTCCCAGCTTCCCCTCTCCTGCCCAGAAAAAAGGCGTCTTTGTAGAAGGAAGTTTTTAAGAAGTCCTAAACTTTCCAAGCACTTCTTTCCTCCCAACTGGCCTGTCCCATTACTGAGCTTTGGCACACAACTAAAGGCCATTTTTAAGCTGAAGTAATTGTCCTCCAGCGACACAGCTTGGGATGAGATCAGACGGACGCTGTGTGTGTGAGGCCAAACCAGCTACTGTTTGGAGGTGCAGATGACTTTCTAAGGCCTCTTCTCGCCAAAACGGCCCTTATAGGATTAACTGCCCAATAATTTTGGGAAGAGAGGATTTATGGCCCTCTGCTTTCCCAAGACCTGTCCATACTCCTCTGCAACGCCCATTTTCCCTTCCTAATCCCTACCAGGAATTCCAATATCCCATTTCCAGGGCTTCTAGGCTTCCAACTTCCCAGCTTCCTTGCTTTTGAAAGCATTGCTTGAGTCACTCCCTTGACTCAGCAAACTCCTAGTCATTCTTCAAAACCCTACCCCAAACGCCCATTCTGAGACCTCTTTTCCTGTTTTGGTCCCATAACAGAGCTTAGAAACATCCCCTAACATTAACCACACCCCAAACCTCATCTGTGCACCCCTCCAATTAGGTTGTGGGCTCTGAGGTAAAAAAGCACTACCTGAGCATCTACTTGTACCTGCCCCCAGGTATCTATGGCCCAAGAGGTAGGCACCCCTACTTTACAGGAGGGGAGCCGAATATGATGTGAGGGGAGGATACCAGATGGGGCTAACACCCAGCTATGTCTCCAGCACAGGTATGACCCTCTGTGTAGAGGGACAGTAGGAATAGTGAGCAGAGGTCGAGGCCCCTCACTCAACCCTTTTCGTCTCTGGCACACAGGAGGGGTTCAGCTGAGCGTGGGTGGAGGATCCCAAGCTAGTTACTGAAAATCCTCCAGTCCTAGTCCCCGCAGGGACAAGCCAGGAGGGGACAAGCTGGCTGGTTGCTCGGGCAGGACTTCCGCCCCCCTCCCGCCAGCCCGCGGAGGACACGTCGCCGCCGCCGCGCCCAGGAAAGTTCCGCGGGAGCCGAGGCGCGCGCGGGAGAGCCCGAAAGTGAGCCGCCCCCGTGCGCTGAGGCCGCCCAGCCCCACACAATGGCGGCGCGGCGTCCCCTCTCCCTCCACCCTGCGCCCCAGGCTGGGAGGGGGGATCCCGACGCGCTTGGGGCGTCCCTCCACCCCGATCATGCATCCCACCCCTCCCCCCACTTCCCGCCGGCCGGCCCTGCCCTGCCGGACCGCGGCGCCGGCACCCTAGGCCGGGAGTGAGAACTGTTGCGGACTAGGGGTCTCGCTGCGGCCCTGATGGGCGGCTGCCGCGGGACTAAGGGGCCCGGCGAGGCCCGGGGTGGGGGGAAGAGCGCACAAGCTGGCGGTGGGGGGTGAGCGCGGGAATCGGGCGAGGCCCGGAGAAAGGAAGAAAGCAGGGGCGTGGGGTAGAGCGTCCCGGAGCCAGGGCAAAAGGAGTCACCAGGGGACAAGGGGATCTGGAAGCACCAGGCTTCGGGTGCATGAGGGCACTGGGAGGGGTCCCAGGTGGGGGCATCGGGCGGTAGTTGGTGCTCTGAGAAGGGGTCCCCAGGCACAGAGAGCCAGGGGGTGAGGAGTGCGCGCAAAGAGTACGAAGGGAACACCAGTTGGGGGCGCCAGGGCGGGGATCGAGGGGCCCCCGGCCCGGAGGCTCCAGGTGGGGAGCGCAGGGTTGCAGACGCAAAAAGGGCGCAGGGACGGGATCGCGGGGTCCTGGAATGCGCGGTGCACCGAGGCCTGCGGGGATGGAGGAACCGGGACAAGGATCCAGAGGTGGTAGGGCCGGGGCCGGGGTGGTGGGACCAAGGAGGGTGCAGGGATGCCGGAATCCCGCGCGCTCACTTTCTCTCTCCGCTCGCGTTCGCCGTCCAGCTCGCGCTGCAGGCCTTGCGCGCGGTCCTCGGCCTCGTCAGCCTGCTGCTGCAGGGCCTGGATCTTGCGCTTCACCGCCTCCAGAGAGTTGAGGCCGGCCATGGCGGGACGCGGCGGGACGAGGGGTGCAGGCTGGGCTCGGCGACGCTGCAGCACCGCCGTCCCGGCCGCCAGCCTTTGCAACGCCGGCCACCCCCGCCCGTCCCCGCCCCCCGGCCGGGCCGCCGTCGGGGTGAGGTCAGCGCGGCCGGGGCGACGTCACACCGCGGGGGCGGGCCTGACGTTTGCACCGCTGGCCGCAGCTGCTGGAGAAGGCCCCGATTCGGGACATATTTGGAGAAAGCGCCGGGAAAGCTCCTCCTTTCCCTCGGGCGCGCCCTCCAGGCCTGGCCCCGGCCGACCCTGCCGCGCGCGCCCCATTACTGCGCGCGCCCCATTACTGCGCACGTACGTCGGAGGCTTTCTTCTCTGTCAGCTCCAGCTTCTCCTGAGCGTCCTTCAGGTTCTCGGAGTACTTGTCCAGCTCGTCCTCTGTCCCCTTCAGTTTCTTCTGGAGGTGCGTCAGCTCCTCTTCCACCTGGTAACAGATGGGGGAGCGTGTCAGGCGGGGGGACAACTCTCTGCCGCACAGAAATGTCCCCCATGTTCACAATCCCCCAGTCTCTCTCACTGGGCCTCAGTTTTCCTCGTCTGTAAAACAGGGAATCACAATAGAATAACAATAACAATTGATTGTTGCTGTTAGTTGCCTTTAGAGTGAGCCTAATTCTTACAGACCTCACGTCGCCAAGGACAACTGTGCTGCCCAGTTTTCAAAGTTGAAAACAGGTCCCCAGGTTTTATTTCCTCTAGGTACCTCTAGGTAGGTTTGACCCGCGAGCCTTTCATGTGGTAGTGACACGCTTAAGCACGTGTAGATCTAGGGACTCCTACTTAGTCTGTGTTGTGACTCAAATCAATTTTGGCCCTTAGTGATGCCTGTGACAGAGTAGAATTGCACCAGAGTTTTTTCTTGGCTATAAATTTTATGCAAGCCAATCACTAGGTCTTTTCTTCCTCAGGGTCGTTGGGTGGGTTTGAACTGCTGCCTTTGTTGGCAGCATACCTATTATGCCACCAAGGCTCCTTACAGTAATGTTTCTCAAACTAAACCCACTGCCATCCAGGGATTCTTTCGCTTGTGAGCAGCCTGGTGGATTCGGACTTTGGACTTTTTGTTAGCCCCACACAAGCCACCACTGGCTCCATGCAATAGTATCTCTTGCCAGCTAGGTGCCATCCAATCAGCTCAGACTCAAAGCAACCTTGGGTACAATGGAAAGGAGCTCTGCCCCAAACCTGTGCCATTCTCACAGTCTCTGCTGTGCCTAAGCCCATTGTTGCACCCCACTGTGAACTAGTCCCTGTTAATCTTATTTTTCAAGCTCCCTGTTGTTGTTGTGTATCATAGAGTCAGAACCGACCCATAGTTGACCCTTCAGTGAGTTTTCAGAGGCAGTTAATCACACGGGAGGGAGGAGATTGCCTGTCCTCCCACAGAGCAGCTGGTGGTCTTGAACCATGTGACTTTGGCATTGCAGCACAGCTTCTTGCCGCTAGGCCACCAGAGCTCCCTAGGTATCAAAAATTGTTTGATCTTCACTGTTGTTGTTAAGTGCCATTGAGTTGTAGATGACTCATAGCGACCCTATGAACAAAAGACCTGAACACTTGTATAACTTTGTTTCTCCAAGTTCATAGAGTTTCAGGAGGCAAGCCATTTCAGAAGAGGATGTTACTCCTGCTTCCAGGCTTCTTTTAATCGGGGAGCTCCACCAAACACTGTCCACTGTGGGTAACCATTATCACATTTGACACTTCAGTGTCACAGTGTTTAGTATCACAGCAACCATGAGTTACCTCTGTACAGCAAATGGACAGACCAGTGCTATGCCACTTAGGAGAATGTTTGACTAAAAACAATTAAAAGGACCACAGATTAAAATCACCCACCTTTGGCTTGATAGCATCACTTTCTGTCCACTAGGCCAACAGAGCTTTCACTATGTTGTTGTTGATCTCCACTGCTAACTTAAATTATCAGTTCAAACTACCCAATGGTACCCTGGAAGAAAGGCCTGGTGATCCACTTCCATAAAAACCCTATGTGGTGTGATGTGGCTGTGGGGACTGATGGGTTGTCAATGTGGTGAGACAGTTCCATCATCTCACCCTGCCGATACTGCCATGTAACATCCTTCTGGACAGGCAACCGCACAGCTAATTAATCTTGGCACACCTTGACTCCATTTTATTCTAAGGATATTAGTTAATTTCAATCGTGTGATTTTTGAATGAGGACGTGATGCCAGAGGAGCCTTTGTCCTTTCGGAATGATATAAACGCAAACGATGAAGGCAAGGAGGGAGCGCAGACCAACACTCCCCAGCCTTTCAGAAAACCAGTAAACCCTGAGGAGTATTCTGCTCTGTAGCCCTTGAATTGTATCCATGGCAACTGACAACCACAGAGTAATAATAGTTTCATCATCCCCATCTTTCCTGGTCCTATGACCTGCGCACCAGCTCTTATCCTTTTCACCCATTTCTAGTGAGTTGGAATCCACCTATTGCTGACTCTCTGTTGGATTTCTGAGACTGTAAATCACACAGAAGGAAGTTGCCCATTTTTCTCCCAGAGAGACACTGGTGGATTTGAACCGCCAGAGAGGCACAGCCGTTGGTTAGCAATGCAACTTCTTTGTACAATTTTGGGAGACGTAACTGAGACCCTTACACATTTTCTGAAAATGTTAAGTTTTGTATTCCAGTTTGGGAGAAGGAAGCAGCTTCTACGTGATTTGGGGTTCAGCAGAAAGGAGGATTTATTTTGGAACCCTGAACCTTGTCTCCCCATTTTTATCTCCAGTCTATGCCCCAATAGGCATGCCCCTGTTCCCATCTCACCCCTCCTCTTCTATCTCTCTCTTTTACACACACACACACACACACACACACACACACTCACACTCAGACACTTTCTAAATAATATTTTTATCCATATATCTGCTCTTTCTCGGCTTCAAACAGACGATCACCCTCAGGCATTCATTCTGACTGGCTCCAGATTACATCAAAGGACTGAGAGGCTTAGACCTCAATACAGGGCTGGGGTGGGGGGCTTGGTTAGAAGAGGTCTACCCCTCAAAGACCACTTTTTTTGAAGGCCCTGGTTAATTTTTTTAAAATCTTTGTGTATTGGCCTGTGTTGAAATGAAAATGTTTCCTCCCTCCCCTAACTTTTTAGCCTTCCGATAAACATTTTGTTTATCCAAAGGGTCTGCCCCTTTTTTTTTTTTCTTTACCCCTCTTTAGGAAACTCACGTTTGAGGGATACAGATACCAGAGCCCATCGCCCAGTCGGCTCCACCACACAGGTTAAAAGTCAGCTCAGGGAGCCTTCCCCACCCTTGTGGCCATACTTACTGGAGTGATCAAGCCCAAGTCCAATGTGGCCCACCTGCTCTAGCTGTGACTCTGGTGGTCTGACCCCTGGTTCTCCAGGGTGGCAGTCAGCCCCCTTCAAACTCCTCCTGCCTTCTCCTCAGCAGGAAGCCCAGAGAAAAGTGAAGCAAAGTGACTTTCTGAGGTCACACAAGGTAGGACTTGAACCCAGTGCTCTGAACATCAGCCTTTGGCCCATCCACACGCCAGGCCTACTCTCCTGATTCCGCCCTTGCTTGCTTTATTCAGTCCTTACCCAAAGGGGCCTTGTGCCCGAGACATGGAAACCCAACTCTGAGTCTGGGTTGTCCATTGACCTAAGATGATATTCAGGTTGTGGTAGGTGCAGGGACCAGGCTAATGTACTAGGTACAGAGTCCTCGATGCAGTGTGCCCGGTGCTGTGTGACTCTGTGAGTTGGTGCACAGACTGGAACAGATTCTTTAAAGGGTTCCTCCCTCAGAGGAGCCTGCCACGTGTCCAGCTGAGCTAGAGGGTCCAGGGGTGGCAGCTGAGGCTGGGTTTGGGGTGGGATTCAGCTAAAGTCATGGAGATGCCCCCTGATAATCCCTAGCTAGGGTGCCTCAGATAGTGAGGAAGGCTAGTCTGTCCAGAGGCCTCAAGGGCCATCTACCCTCCTGTTCCACGTACAGTTGGTGGCTGAGGGGAGTGGTAGGCCCAGCTCAAGGAGAGCAGAACAGCTCATGCCAAAGTCAGAATCTATGTGGTCTGACATTGACCTCTAGTTGGGGGCCCAGGGACCTGACTCCCCACTTTGCCTGTCCTATCTTGTGGCCTCAGTTAATACACACACATACACCTACACACCCTCACACCCCCACCACACTCCCCACCCCCAGCCCCTCAGCTGTCTCTAAACACCCCCTCCCCAGGACACATGAGCCATTTCCTTATAGGTGCTCTCAGGCCAGTTGACTCCCCTGACGTCACCTGACTGTCTTCCAACGCTGTGGGAGTAGCCCTTACTCAGCTCAATATGATCATCACCACGTAAGGGTGAGGGCACGCTTGTCAGCAATGGGCTTATCAGGGTAGAAGCATGGGTTGGGGTCTTGGAAATTTTTCTGGCCACATTTGGGCAGGGACGTTGGCCTGGGCACTGGGATGGATGGGATGGGCAGGGTGTTACGAAGTTTTTAAAATGAGCCAAACCCCAAAGCAAACCCACTGCACTTAAGTTGACTCCAACCCATGGTGGCCGCTTGTATGTTACAGAGTTAAGACTGCTTCATGGGGGTTTTCTTGGCCATCATCTTCCCAGACGTAGATTGCCAAGTCTTTTTTCTTTGGCACTGTGGGATGAGGTTGAAACACTGACCTTTTAGTTATTGTATGCTGTCAAGTCAGAATTGACCTGTAATTGACCCTCCAGTTACAGTTACCCTCCTGGGTTTTCAGTGGAATAAATTTCACAGGAGGAATTTCTCCATCCTTCTCCCGTGGAGCAGCTGGTGGATTTGAACCGCATGCTTTGGGGACTGCAACAGTTTCTTACCATTAGGCCACCAGAGCTCCCTACAAGTTAGTAGTTAAGTGCAAGGAAAATACCAAATACATTAAGATACTGTCTTCCTGAGCCTCTTGGAGGGACCTGCCCAGAGCCATGATGATTGAGGATTTGATCCCCCGGCTGACAGACCGCAAAGCTGGTTCTCTTGAGTGTTACACATGGTGTGTCCACTGTTCCCTACTTTCTGCTGAGGGGGTTCCTACTGACCCTGGTCACCCTGGCCTCAGCACCCCCTGCCCCGGGCAGAGGCCTCACCACTGCTTGAGGCTGCCCGTGGTCCTCTGTCTGTCCCCACCCTGACCACTGAGCTTGGGGATACCTGTGACTGACTTCTTTAGCCTTGGGGTGCTGAGTGTTGGGCCCAAGGCTGAGGTTCACAGCAGGCACATTATCACCCAGCATGGGGCTGAGTCCATACTCAGAGTGGGAAGTTTGTCAGATGAGTAAGCGCCCCAGCCTCTAATCCATCAGTGAAAGCAAGCCAGGCATGGGAACGAAGGAGAGTGGCGTGAGTCAGCCTCCTGTCTGTCACCTCTCTCTGAGTCCTACGCGCTGGGTGTACGCTGCTTGGAGAGCCTGGCCCTGGAAGTGGGGGAGACCTGGCCTGGGAGGTGGAGCCTGGCCCTGACTCTCAGAGAGCTCAGTGAGTCAGTGTCAAGTCACTGTCCTTTGGATCTCAGTTTCCTCATCTGTAAAATGGCCAGGAGGAGCAGACCACACACGCCTTTGTCCTTACAAATGGGGCCTTTGGGCTGGGCTGTGGCAGGATGTGTGGTTAAAGGCCAGTGGGGACAGATATCCCTGGCCAGGAGGGGAGCGGCAGGAAGGGTGAGCTGGGCTTCCCGTGCCGTTCCCACACTGCACAGGCAAAGTTGGAATTGGAACACTGCTTCAGAGTCCCCGGGGGTCAGGCTGGCTGCTGCAGAGAAAGGCTCTTACTGCCTCCTGCCTTGTTTTCCAGCCAGGATGGGCCACCTGATGTTGGAAGATGAGCCCTCTCTACTTTGTGCTTTGGACCCTACCGTTTTGAGTTCTGTCCTAGTGGTCAGAAAGGACCATTTGCCCCCATTTCACAGATGAAAACACTGAAGGTTCATTTCTACTTAGTTTTATGAAAAAGAGGGACAAAATGAAAATACAGCTGGGGGTTGGAGGACCCTCCTGCCTGCCCCTCCTTGGTCATATTGCCAGTTGAAGGCTTTTGAAAAACCTTCCATTCTGAATATGCAATAGGCGTGGAAGATTATATCGGCCACTCACATTTTAGTGAGAATTACTTGCTTTCCTCTAAATCTCTAAGTCAGTCATGATGACTGAAAACTGGCAGCTCTGGTCCCCTACAGGATGGGCGTCTGTGCTCACAGGGGAGGGAGGGGAATTTGTGGCAGAGTGCTGGGGCGGAGCTGGCTGGTGTGAATGTGTCACCAGCCCAGTGCTTAGGGCAGCCTCAGGACATTGGGGGATGGAGAGGCCCAATAGGGAAGTCAGGTGGGGCAGGAAACAACTCTGGGTTGATTGAGTGCTCACTCTGGGCCAGGCTCCAGGTGTGGAGCCAAGGGTTCCACCTGCAGCAGGGCCACCCCTAATCCCCCCACTCAACTGGGGAGGTGCCTCTGTCACCACTCTGCACTCAGAACCACACAGAGGCTCTGAGACATTGTTCCAGGTGGCCTGGTGGCAGAGTTGTGCTTTGAATGGAACTTGCTTGTGCTCAGAGCTTTACCCTGAGGGTTGGCCTGGCGCCCGGCTGGGCTGGGCATCACTGCCACCAACTGGGTGTCTCCCAGGGCTTATCTGAGCCCTGGAAGCCCCTGAGGGCTGGGTGCTTGGCTCCAGTGTGTGGGGAAGCCTGTGGGGAGCAGGGAGCTAAAGGACAGGCAGGATTCCCTGCATCCTTCCCCCTGGCTGCTCTGGTCATCTAGGCCCATGACCACTGACTTCTGCTCAGCCCAAGTCTCTCCCTGTGCCCTCCATTAGCTCCCTGGAGCCCTGACTGCCAGTGCCGGAATCTTAGCCCTGAGCTCTGGGTTCAAGGCCTGTGAGTTTTTATGCCATAGGTCCTGGGGGACTGAACTCCTGCCCTCTGCCTTCCGAGGGTATCTGCCTCCTCCGCAGCCTGGCCCCTGGCCCCTAGGCCTCCATCTTCATCTTGACACACACACAAACTCATCTTACCACACACAGACGCTGTGAGCACTCCCATACAGACAATACTCCAGCAGACACATGCTCATTCCAACACACACACACACACACACACACACAAACACACACACAGAAACTCATCACACACAGACCCTCACATGCCAGTGGATACACACACTCACCCACCATGCATACATACTCACTCAACACTCATCGACACCACACACTGCAACACGCTGACTCATCCTAAGACAAAAACACACAGACATACTTCACCAGAAATGCTCCTTTACCCTGACACAACACCACTCACTTCAACAGTTATACACCATCACATATGCCAACACACACACTTACCCCACAGACACGCTCACGCATGTGCCAATAGACGCACAGGCACACAACACTTGTGCTCACACGATTCACACACCTACACACTCTGACGCACACACTCACTTTGTTCTAAACAGGTGACATTCATCCCAACAGACACATCTGTTCCAATGGATGCTGCAACACAAATTCATTGACTTCAAAACACACACACACACACACACACTCTTTCTCTCTCCCTAACAGAAGCCTACACATACCCACACATGCCAGCACATACATTCATCTTGACAGACACTAAACACGTACTCTGGTGCCAATTTTGCACACATATGTGCAAACACAAATACCCCGCCTTTTCCTTCTGCATATGCATAAACATCACTTGTCATTTGCCCTCTGTCACCTCTCCTTGTTTGCGTGTTCTCTGTCACCTTTACCTCTCCACACTCTGACTCTTCAGTTTGAACACACACACCCCAACTTGAGTGTACAACCCCCCAGCTAGTCCCTTCACCCCGACACATGCAAATGTCACTCATTTGCACACCCACACACAGACAGACACACACATACATCAACTTGAATGTGTACCCCCTCCGACTGGTCCCCTCACCCTGACACACGCTGTCTCTCACTCACTTGCACGCCCACAGACACCCCCCTTTGCTCCCACAGTGCTTCTCCATCTCTCATTGTCCTTTTTCTCTCAAACCCATTTGGCTCCCCTGGTTCCCAGTGGTGGCAGCACCTGTTGTCCCCTCTCTCAATCTGCAAGGCTTGGCGACTCTATGCCCCTGACTAGTCATCCTGCCCGAGTCCCAGGTGCCCAGAGAGGGGGCTGAGACCCCGCGGTGGCCCAGCTCGGCTCACCTGCTTGCACTTGTCCTCGGCGGCCTTCTTGTCGGCCTCAGCCTGCTCGGCGCGGTCGATGGCGTTCTCCTTGTCCAGCTTCAGCATCTGCATCTTCTTCTTGATGGCCTCCATGGCGGCGGTGGGGCTGCGGGCCGAGTGTGAGGTGAGGGTGGAGGAGCGGCCTTTTAACCCCCTTGGGTGCCGCCTCCTGCCCAGCCGGGCCAGCCACCACTCGCCCGCCCAGCAGCCCAGCAGCAGACTTGGCGGCTCACCGGCCTTCCCAGCCCTCGCCTTATTTGGGCTTAGGATTTTCTTCAAGGGAAAAAAAAAAGAACATAAAGGCCCAGCCGTTTCTATTTTAACCTGGTGACTTGGCCCCATAAGCTTCAGGGTGGCCTTGGGGAAGGGGCACGTGGCAGGATCTGGGGTGGAGGTATGAGGGGGAGGGCCCTGGAAGGTTGAGGGTCTCCTGTGCTTCTCACCCTCCCACTCTGCGGTCTCCCCAGACCCCTCCCATCTTCTGCTTCTGCTCAGATCTCGCTGGTCACTCTCACCTGGTGGGTCTCTCTCACCTGGTGGGTCTCTCTCACCTGGTGGGTCACTCTCACCTGGTGGGTCACTCTCACCTGGTGGGTAACTCTCACCTGGTGGGTCTCTGCCTCTGTCCTCTTCTCTTGGTCTTCCTCTGAGTAACTGTCTTTCTGTCTGTCTGTCTCAGGTCATTCTTTCTCCTTTCATTGCCCCTGTGTTGCTGTGTCTCTGCCCGTCTCTCTCTCTTGATTTTTCCTCTCTTAAACTCTCACCAGGCCTCTTTGTGGCTCTGTCTCTGTCTCCCTGTCTCCCTCCCTCTGTCTCTTTTCCCCTATAGCTCTTCAGCTCACCCTTCTACCCACTCTTTCTCTCACCATCTCAACATCTCTGTCCCTCTCCTCTCTCCTGCCCCTTATGCCTTTCATCCCATTGAGCTCACGGGGTGACAAAATCAATGCACTGATTGAGTGGGATGAAGAGGAATCCTTGGAGGCCAGGCCAGACCCAGGCCCCGACATCCTTCCCACCTGCTGAGAACCACCACTGTCTGTCAGCACCTACGGCTTCTCTCACTCAAGCCTCCTGCTAATACCCCCCCCCACACACACACACCTCACCCTTATGTCAGGGCTCCTTCCACCGTTCCCCAGTCATGAAGCTACCATTCCTACCGCAGGGCCTTTGCATGTGCAGCCCTTCTGTCTGGAGCACCCTCTAGAGGAGCTGACATTAGAGTGTGCATTCACTCCCTCATTCACTCAGCAGGCACCAAGGGGCTCCACAGGCTCAGCCTTTGCACCATCTGAAGAGTACGGGCACTGCCACAATTGTAGTTACTCTTATTGTTTTCTCTCTCAGCCTAGAGACTAAGGTGCATCTAATCCAGGCCATGGTCTTCGCAATTACTTGCCGTGCATCAGTGAGCTGGACAATGACTAAGGATGACAGAAGAAGCAATGCCTTTGAGTTGTGGTGCTGGAGAAAAGTATTGACCATACCATGATCTGCCAAGAGAATAAACAAGTCTGTCTTGGAGAGGGTGAAACCAAATTGCTCCTTGGAGACAAGGATTTTGAAGCTCTGTCTCACATGCTTTGGACATGTTGCCAGGAGAGACTAGTCCTTGGAGAAAGACATCATGCTTGGGAGGGTGGAGGGACAGCACAGGAGAGGAAGACCCCGGATGAGACAGACTGACACAGTGACTGGGGTCCTGGGGGTCAGTGTGTCAGACACAGTGAGATTGGCTCAGGATAGATAGGGTAGGGTTCACAGGGTCACTATGAGTCGTAGTCGACTCAATGGCGGATAATAACAACCTTGCTGTCCCGTTGGAACTGACTTCATAGCTGACCCTCCAGTGTGTTTTCAGAAACTGTAATGTGCACGAGAGGAGACTGTCTCTCTTTCTCACGTGGTGTGAGTTGTTAGTGGATCTGAACCGTCAGAGAAGTGTGGCCTTTGGGTTGGCAGCACAACACCCCGTGAACTGCACCACCAGAGCTCCGACCGGTGGCTGTCGACACAGTGGTGGCCCCATGCACAAAAGAGTGAAAACTCCCTGGGCCTCGTACCATCTTCACCGCTGCTGGTGTGTGTGAGTCCACTGTTGCCCCTGCTCTGGACTTTGAAAGACTTCTGGCCTAGGGCACTTGCCTTCCAGGCCTGGATGAATAATTGTGGCCACCAGGCCTTTCTTCCTAGTCTTCATAGTCTGGAAGCCGTGAACCATGGATGACTCAGTTGGTATTTGAAATCCTGGTGGCACAACTTGCAGCATGACACCAATATGTAAACAATTGCAACATGACAACCTGATAGTGGGTGATTTATTATCATTATTAAATTATTGTGAATGACTTGAGGCTGCTTTGGGGCAGATTTCTGTCATAGTCTTCTCTATGAATCATGAAATGTGCAAAGTGGACTGGGGGAGAGAGAAGAGTACCAAAGAGCAACGATGTCAGTCTGGAGACTAAGGTGCACCTGATTTAAGCCATGGTCTTAATACACAACTCAAAGGCATAAATTCTTCTTCTGTTATCCTTAGTCATTGTCCAGCTCTCTAGCTGTGAAGATCATGGTATGGATCAGGCGCTCCTTAGTCTCTAGACTGACATCGTTGCTCCTCAGTACTCTGGAGAGGTCCTTGACAGCAGATTTTTTTCCAATGAAGTTCATCTTTTGATTTCCTGACTGCTGGTGCCAAGAGTGTTGATTGTGGAGCCAAGCAAGCTGTAATTATTAACAATCTCAATCTCTGCTCCATCTATCATGATGCTGCCAATTGACCCAGTGGTGTCTTTTTGATGTTGCACTTCAATCCATATTGAAGGCTACAGTCTTTGACCTTTTGCAGCAAGAGCTTCAGGTCCTCCTCAGTTTCAATAAGCAGGGTTGTGTCATCTGCATAATGTAGGTTGTTAATGAGTTTTCCTCCAATCCTGATGCCACACTCCTCCTCATAAGTAGATAAAATTAATAAATAAGATGAGAAATTTCCACCCACACACAAAAAAGATGCTCCTTTGTCTAGGAAACATCTACTCATCTTTATTTTATTAAACTGATGTGCATACAATAATTCTTCTATGTTTTATTTAAGTCATGTATATTGTGTTTCATATAGTGTTTCATTTACACTGTGTTTTATACAGTCATTGGTGCTTTTGAGCTGTGGTGCTGGAGAAGAATATTGAGAATACCATGGACTGTTAGGACAACAACCAGATTTGTCCTGGAAAGGGTTAAACCGGGTGGCTCCTTGGAGGCAAGGATTCTGAAGCTCCGTCTAACATACTTTGGACATGTTGTGAGGAGAGACCGGTCCTTGGAGAAGGACATCATGCTTGGGAGGGTGGAGGGACAGCGCAGGAGGGGAAGGCCCTCTATGAGGTGGATTGATTGAGTGACTGGGATAATTGGGATGGGAGTGTCGGAGACAGTGCGATTGGCACAGGACAGAGCAGAGTTTAGGGCTGTTGTATGTAAGGTCGCTATGAGTCACAAGCGACTCGACGGCACACAACAACAACAAACAACATGCCTATTATTATGACTTGATGGCCCTTAACAATATAGAGACCATTTGGCCTAGTGGACCGAAAGTGATGCTACCAAGCAAAGGTGGGGGACTCTCAGGCCTGTTTTTCATTGTTTTTGGTCAGACATTCTTCTAAGTCGTATAACCCTGGTGTGTGTCCACTTGCTGTATGGAGGTAACTTGTGATTGCTGTGAAGCTGACACTTTGACACTAATGTGTCAAATGCGATAATGGTTACCAATGGTGGACAGTGTTAGGTTGGGCTCTCCTATTAAAACAAGCTTGGAAGCAGGAGTGGCACCACTTCTGTAAATAGTTTGCCTCCGGAAACCCTATGAACCTGGAGAAAGGATGAAAGTCACACAAGTGTTGAGGACTTTCGTTCATGGGTCGCTATGAGTCGCCTATGACTTGATGGCACTTAACAACAACAACAACAACAACAACAACATGCCTATTATTACCCTGTACTTTCAAGTTCCTGTTGAATCTTTTCCTTCACCTCCTCCTCTGCCCACTAAACTCTGCTAACCTAGTGATTTCCACGCTTCCCATTTCCCATCTCTTTCCCCCTTTCTTTTTCCCCTTTTGGACATTTACATACATCTAATTAGTCATCCTTCTATTTTTAAAATAATGATTTTATGCAGTATTTGCCTTTATGAGATCGAGCCTGTTCATCCAGCATAATGTTTTCCAGGCTCCCCCATGTTAGATAGCATTTTACGAAATATGCTTCCTTAGTGCTGCTTAGGATTCAGTTTGTGTGAATGTCCCACAATTTAAAGGCCTATTTGGATAAGATCTCCCCCAGGAAGCCTTCCTGGTCTCCCCATCCAGCACCAAGGCCATAAACATCTACATTCCAGTCATATCAGGCCAAGGTAGAGGGTCCCCACTGCTTCCTCTCCTGACCTCCTGTCCTTCACTCCCCCAAACCAGCTCCGTCTTCATCACCGTAAGAAGGTAAAACCCTCATTTTCTTAGGCTAAAAACCCAAGAAGGCACACACAGAACATACCAGAACATCTCTTCATCTTCAAGAACACTGACTTCTCTCCAAGTCCAACTGTAGAGGAGGCCCCAGTCCAGCCTCCTCCCTAACTGCTCTCCCTCCACTCTGCCCTCTACTCATTCCTCCCCTAAGTCTTTGCTTTAAGGCTCAGTTTCCTTTTGTGAAGAAGGAGAGTAGAATTATTGCATCTTGACGCATGTCAGCTTAGAGACAGCGCGTGAAGTTCTCTCTGCTGAGTGCCTGCCAGGTGTCTGAAGCTGTGCGAAGCACCTCCCACTCACAGTCATAGCTCGTTCAGCTTCCCTTAAGCCTAGTGGTAGAGAATTTTTTAATTTCCATTACACAGATAGAGACACTGAGGCTCATCCTCCAAACTGTATCGCTGATCATGGCCCACCAGTGGGATGGCTTGAACCAAGGCCATTTATCTTTACACACACTTAAAGATCAACTGTACCTTTAAAGACATTTCCCATTTTGTCATTGTTATTAGTTATCATCGAATTGCTCCCATTTCATGGCACCTATACATGCTTTGGGAC